GTGATGAAAAAATACAATGAAATATAGTGAAGAGACGTATTTAAATGAATAGATGCAACTATAAAGACACAACCGTAAACTGAAAAAATATGATTATAGTTGAACAAATAGAACTATCCCAAAAAAAATAACTGTCGATATTTTAACAAAAATATGCGATAAAAAATTACAACATAGAAAAAATAACGGTAAATATTTTAACGGAAATTTACGATAAAAAACATAAACGAAAAAATAACCGTTAATATTTTAACGGAAAGTTGAGATAAAAAGACACAAAAAAAAACCATCAATAAAAAATATAACCGTCAATATTTTAACAAAGAATTACGTAAAAAGACACAGCCGAGAAAAAATAACCGTCAATATTTTAACGGAAAGTTGCGATAAAAAAGATACAACCGAAAAAATAACCGTCAAACGAAAAAAATAACTATCAAGATTTTAACGGAAAATTGCGATAAAAGACCAAAACATAAAAAGTAACCGTTAATGTTTTTAACGGAAAGTTGCGATAAAAAGACAACTGAAAAAATAACCGTCAACGAAAAAAGTAACCGTCAATATTTTCACGAAGAGTTGCAATATAAAGACACAATCCAGAAAAAATAACCGCCAATATTGTATCGGAAAGTTGCGATAAAAAAATACCACCAAAAAATAACCATCAACAAAAAAAAGTAACCGTATAATTTAACGAAGTGTTGCGATAAAAACACAACCGCAAAAATAACAGTCAATATTTTAACGGAAAGTGAAGATAAATTAAAAAGACACAACCGAAAAAGTATTCGTCAACGAAAAAAGTAACCGTCAATATATTAACAAAGAGTTGCGATAAAAGATACAACCGAGAAAAAATAGCTGTCAATATTTTAACAGAACGTTGCGATAAAAAGACATGGCCGAGAAAAAAATAACCGTGGATATTTTTACCGAAAGTTGCGATAAAATACACAAACGAAAAAAGTAACCATCAATATTTAACGGAAAGTTACGATAAAAATACACAACCTAAAAAATATCCGTCAACGAAAAAAATAACCATCATATTTTAGCGAAGAGTTGCAATAAAAAGACACAACTGAGAAAAAATAACCATCAATATTTTAACGGAATTTACGATAAAAAGACACAACTGAGAAAAAATAACCATCAATATTTTAAAGGAAAATTGCGATAAAAGATAGAAACAAAAAAAGTAACCGCCAATATTTATCGGAAAGTTGGGATAAAAAAGAAAACTGAAAAATAACCGTAAACAAAAAAAGTAACTGTCAATATTTTTAACGAAGAGTTGCGATAAAAAACACAACCGAAAAAATAACTACTAATATTTTAAAGAAAAGGTATGGTAAAAAGACGCAACCGTTGAAATGTGCAAATGACATTTATTGAGATGGGTATTATATTTATTTTCCCATGATATCATGTAAATGTTAAATGATTGATATAATTAAGGAGGTTATACTACTAAATATATCCAAATGTAAACTATAAAATAAAACTAATTTTATATGTAGTTTATTGGTTTACATAAGAAGAAATTCAATAAAACAACATAACTGTACAAAAATAAATGTAAGAAAAACAACCATAAATATTTAAACAAAAGGTTACAATAAAAAGACGCAACCGTTCAGATGTGCAAATGGTATTTATTGGAAACGACATAACCTTAAACAAAATAACCGATTAAAACGAAAATTGCGATAAAAAAACGCAATCAAAATAACCGTTAAAAAATAACCGATTTAAACGAAATGTTGCGATAAAAAGACGCAACCGTTCAGATGTGCAAATGGTATTTATTAGATTGCTATTATATATAGATTATTATTATTATTATATTCTATAAACATATTAACCAACAGTTTATAACTTTACGATTATGTATATACATTATGCATTGGATCCTCGGTAAAACTGTTTCTCCGATGGAGTTTTCTGTTATAGAGTCATTCGATGTTTAGTGATGCATAGAGTTAAATTCATTTTACGTGAATGATAATGATGATGCAATAGACGGTAAATATATGTTTATTTATTTTTTGTTTGGAAAACACTGATTATTTATCTTTAAATAATTTTTTTTTACAAAAAGTCATTTAAAAATTCAAGCTAATTTATGCGATAAACAAAAAAACTTTAAATATTATAAGTATTTTTTTTTGGTATATATTAGAATGGTTAAAAGCCCATTACAACACAATCTTGAAATACTTAAGATGAAGCGAGCTTAGAAAAAGGATAAACTCCTCTAAACATCCAAAAAAGTTAGTCAAAATAAAAGACCACTGAAGTGAAACATCACATAGCAATAGAGGAAAGTCTCTCATCTTCAAAGATCCTATGTAGCCACCAAGGATGACATGTAGCCAGATAGTCTAGAGAGCAAGTGAAGATCACATGATTAATAGATTCTGTCTCTTCACCCAAAGCCTGGCATCTTTAATCAGTCTCCATTCCTCTGTGAGCTAGCTCATCAGCAACATACAAAGCCCCATTTAAAACTCTCCATAAAAATATTCTAATTTTAGGAACCGTTTGAATCGACCATATATTTTCTTTCAGCTTATTATGAGATGGTTGCATTCTGTTTGTTGCAAAAACACAGCTTTGCCAAAATATCATAAGTATATATATAGATCCCATTTAAATCTTTTTCTTCTTCAGCCGGAGAGCCAAAAGTTGAAATTTCTGTTTGGATATTTCATCAAAGTTCGAAATTTATTTCATAAAAACTACATACGTTGCATCCCAATTTATTCACTTCTTGTCAGGTCATGGGGTTTCCGCAGTCCACGACCTTGAAAGTCACGTGACAAGTAATACGTGCTGCACAAATATTTTCTTATTGTTATGTCTTATGTTTCATATCGCTAGAACCTCTTAGTATTAGCGGACTTAATTCATATAACTGCAAATAAAAAATAATTTGGCTCTACTCAAAATGATCTAATTAAGTAGTTACGGCCTGGCCAAAGTAAATCTTTATTAACAAAAATCAGCTATGGAAATAACGACGGACCAAAACATGGCACAATTAACTACTATTTATTTTTTGGCTTATAACTTTGAGATCATTCTTTTATTTGAAATTACAATCATTTGATATGTGTCTGATTTTGATTAAAAATTTAGAATCAAATTAACATTTGTATCTCAACTGATTTTCTAACCCATACAATAACATATAAAACAAAGAAAATAATTAAGTTTTGAGATGCCGTAAAAGAGGATAATAGAATGGTTATTTATAATATAAATATTGATGAAAGTTATATTTTAAAAATAATTCAAATATAGGAATTACAATTCTAATTTATATTTTGTTTGAAGGAAAAATGGGTAGAAAAATCCTAGCTTTTACTAAACTCATATAAAAAACCTTCAATTTTTTTTGGTGGGTTTTTAAACCCTTACCTTTTAGTAAAAACTAAAAAGTTAAATAACCCCTAATATTAATTAATTCAACTTAAATTAAAAAACGTTATATATTAAAACATAATTATTTTCTTCTAAAATTCTAGTATACAATTTTTTAATTCAAGATGTAAGAGGAAAATTAATGAAGGTTTATTCAACAATAATTCATCAACGTAAAACCAAACCAATTCTGTTTGATATATAAATTTTTATACGAACCGAATCTGAATTTATGTTAATATCGGTTTATTTAGTTTGATCACACAAATTTACAAACGTGAAACCAAACCAAATTTTATAATACTATAAAAAGTCCATAAATTTATACATCGCAATATTTTCATTAGAATGAAAAACTAAATAGTAATTTAACTATATTTTTATCCAAAATTGAACCAAATCCAACTGAATCTGAATTTTGTTATGATTTTGACCAATTCTTAAATCAAAGCCTTAAAAACTCGAACAAACCAAAATTTTGAATGTGCAATCCTATAAAGTTTTATAGTTAATATAACATAACTTCTAATGGTAACCAAACTGATTTGCCTGATCTCAACTAATCCTAAATGAATTTTTATATCGCCAAAACTTTATTTTAGAAAGAAAAATCGCAAACTCGAATTAGAAAACATAAATCCTAAATTATATGGTTTTTATTTATATATGTTTTAGGATAACGATCTTGTGAATTTAAGTTGAGTATATTTATATATGTTAGACGGCTATCATTTTGTTGAGACTTAGGGAAGACGATGGTGACGACGTGGTTTGATTAGGAGTTTAGATAGAAGGATTTTTCTTAGATCCAGTCCATCCACGGGTTCACTTACAATTTTCTAGTCTATCACAATTGATGTCAATCGAATTTTCAAAGTTTTGAAATCGATTCAACCAAAATTTTCACGTAACAAAACATCTCATTTAGGAAAATGGTGAGAGACTTTGCTAAATAAAACATTAGCCTGTTATAATTTTATTTACTGTAGTCTTACATCACCGTAAATGAAAAGTTAACACATAATTTATCAATTTATTACGATACTATACTAGTTAACATGTTAATCAAATAGTTATCTACACAAATACTATATTACATGTAACTCATTATTTTTTCTATATGATAATATATGAGATAACACGATAAATATTAATTTATCACATAATTTATAAACTTATCGCGATACCATATGATTTAACACGATATGTTTATACACTTATTGATTATATATTTTGTTATCGTGTTAACTCAATAGATAATCATCTAACTCATATATATTTTTACCAAATATTTGTTGAACAGTATTATTGGAATCTGATAAAAACCGTCGATAACTATTTTATTATATTGCTAAACAATTAGTTATATGCAGAGGGATGATTTGGTCCTTTTCCAAAACTAGAATTAAATACATAATTATGCTTCTCAGATCTTACGATATCTATTCTTCTATGGTTTTATATTTTGTTTACCCTAATTTAAAATCGGAGGAAATAATAAATTAAATGCTGATAAAAAAATTGGAAAAATAAAAAAATAAAACTGGAGATTTGTTCTCGAGTACTCAATTAGATGTTAAAAAGTAGGCCTGGGCAAACGGTTTGGACCGAAGAAAACCGAACCGACCGAACCGAATTTTTCGGTTTCGGTTTTCCTTCACTTCAAAATAGAAAACCGATCGGCTGATTGTTAAATTTAGATCGGTTATCTAATCGGTTCGGTTCGGCACACGGTAACCGATCGGTTAACCGCAAACCAAGAGACCTCTAACCCTAAGACTCTTATCTCTCTCCCTCGCAGCCTCTCATTTTTTTCTCTCACGACTTCACTCTCCTTCTCTCACGATTTCGAAGGAGAAAAAAAAGAGAAACACCAAATCTCTTCTTAATCTTCGATCTCCCTCATTCATCTCTAACCTCTGTTTCTTGTAACTCGATTCTTAAATTTTCAAAGCCCCAGATCGATTCGAAGGAAACTATCAAATCGACTCGAACCTAAACCATCAAAGTCTCGAAATTGTAAGGTCTTCCTCCTTCCTTGTTGTTAAATCTAATGAAATTTGAAGTCTTTAATGTATGTGTGGGGATTTTGTCGTTTGATTTTGTTGTTTGTAGTGTAAACCCTAATTCATCAAACTTTCGATTTGGGGATTTGTTGTTTTAATGTTCGATTTGGGGTTTTGATGTCTGTTTAGCTGTTTTATATCTAATGAAATTTGAAGTCTTTAATGTCTGTGTGGAGATTTAGTCATTTAATTTGGTTGTCTCTAGTATAAACCCTAATTCATCAAATTTTCGATTTGGGGCTTTGATGTTTTGTTTAATTTGATGTCTGATTTAGTCGTTTTGGGTGTTTGATGTTTTGTTTAATATGATTTAGTCATTTAATTTTGTTGTTTTGTTTTAGTTTGATGTCTGATTTTTACATCTCTTTTTACTTCTTCTCTGTAGATGTCTTCTGAAGATCACATCGACATGGACTCTGAGCCAATTCCTCAAGAATCTGCTGGCACTGGAAACAAAAGGAAAAGGGCTACAACATCCAGTTCTTCCGCTTTGCCACCGAAACCGAAGAAGAAAATGCCTAAAAGAGCAGAGGTGTGGCAGCACTTTACTCAGACAGATGATGATCTCACGAAGAGCACTTGTAAGTATTGTTTAACAGAAATTGGTTGTGATACGGTACTAGTAGGAACTAGTCCGATGAAGAGTCACTTAAAGAGGTGTAAGGCATTCAAGGATTTTGTTGAAAGGGGGAAGCAACAAGTGTTAAGTAGTGATAATAGTGGTAATATGAAGTTTGTGAAGTATGATCCTTTGCAGTTTAGGAGATTAGTTAATCAGTTAGTGGTAGTCAATGAGTTATCATTCTCATTTGTTGAATCAGAGGGATGGAGGCAGTTTTGTGCTGATATCTTGCCTCTTTACCAGACATTCTCCAGAAGGACGTGTGGTAGAGATATTGTTGCAATGTATCTGGAAGAGAAAGCTAAATTGAAGACTTTGTTTAGTGTTGAGAAGAAGAGAGTTTCTCTAACCACAGATATATGGGTGTCTCCTAGAACCTCATACAACTACATGGTGGTCACGGGTCATTGGATTGATGTTAATTGGAAAATGCAGAAGAGAATCTTGAGCTTTAAGGTAATCACTGACCACAAAGGAGACACGATTTCAAAGTTTCTGCTTGACACCTTAGATGATTAGGGAATAGAGAAGGTTTTTACTGTGACTGTTGACAATGCAAAGGGTAATGACAAGGCTCTTAGGGTATTTAGGGATGAATTGAGGTGGAGAGGAGGTGAATCTTTAGTGGCAGATGGTGATCTCATTCATATGAGATGTTGTGCACACATTCTGAATCTAATTGTTGGGGATGGTCTTAAAAAGGCTAACAAAAGTATAGTTGCTGTAAGGAATGCAGTGAAGTATGTGCGCAGTTCATATACAAGGTTGAAGTCATTTGTTTTGAAGTTGGAGACAGGAAAGATAGCTAGAGGCAGCTTGCCTTTAGATTGTGTTACAAGGTGGAATTCAACATATCTTATGTTGAGTTCTGCCCTTAAGTTAAAGATTGGATTTGAGAAGTTGTCTTCCGAGGACAAGCTTTACTGTGAATATTTCGATGAAGAAGATGATGCTGATGATGAGAATAGTAAGACAAAGAGAGTTGGACCACCTACCTCTATTGATTGGGATGAAGTTCAAAGGTTAGTAACATTTCTGAAGATCTTTTACAAGAGTACTGCCACGTTTTCTGCTTCTAAATCAGTAACTTCCACAATCTGTTACAAAGAGATTGTGAACATTGAGAAGCATTTGATCACCAAGTGAGGCAACGCTAGTAAAGATATTAGGGATCAAGCTCATCTGATGAGGGATAAATTTGAGAAATACTGGGATGGTTTGTTGAATATGAATTTGCTGGTGATCATTGCATCTATCTTTGATCCACGAAATAAGATGCAATTTGCTTCTCTGTGCTTTGAGCAGCTGTATGGTAAAGGGACTATAGAGACTAGGCAGCTAGAAGCTTCTGTTTCTAGTGTATTAAAAAAGTTGTATGACGAATATAGTTTACGACTTAGCCCAACAGATGATGGAGCTGGAAACAGAAGTGATCATGGAGATTCTGAGCAGCCAAGTGTAGCATGTGGTATGTCAGATGATGAGGATGATTATGTGGGGGTTGATGTCCTTTATGACAATATGGTAGACCAAAGGAGATCAGAAGAGTGTTTTAGTGAGTTAGATATATACTTGGCAGAGAAAACTGAGTTGAAAGTGGACAACAGCTTGGGGTTGCCTTATGATGTTTTAGATTGGTGGAGGTGTAATACGTCAAAGTTCCCCATATTATCTCAACTTGCTAGTGATGTTCTAGCAATTCAAGTATCCTCTGTGGCTTCAGAATATGCTTTTAGCACTAGTGGGAGAGTATTAGATCCTTATAGGAGTTCTTTAACTCCGTATATGATCGAGGTTTTGCTATGTCTGCAACAATGGTTGCGGTGTTCTTATCAGTCTCAAGCAAATGTTGCAAACTTGGTGCAAATGCTGGAAGAAGAGAATTTTCTTGACTCGCTTGGTAAGTATGATTTCACATTCGATATTCTGTCTTTTCATTTATAATTGATATAACAAAGTCAGTTTTTTCTTGTGTAGATTCTTGGAATTCAATAGCACCTTCTCAGTGATCTTCATCTTGGAATGAAATGGAATGTATGGTATGAATCTAATTTATTTGTTTCTGTTTTGTTTCTTGTAACATCAGTCCCTAGCTAAGTTATGACTTATGAATGTTTTCTCTTTTGTGAATGCAGCATCGTTGTTTCTTGCCTTGATAGGAACCAGAATTTGAAGCCTTGCGCTTGGTATTTTGCTATTTTCAGAAGTTGCACTTATGACTCTCCTCTTTATTTCAATCAGACCTTAATTTGGATGTTTTGGGTTATGTTATGCTTCTCTTATGAACTTTTACTGCTTAGACTTGAAGTAGAAACTGGTTTGTAATATTATTATCGTTTTTTGTTGCATTTGGTCTAGAATTTAGTCTATTTCGGTTCAAATTAACCGAAATAGAAATCAGTTCGGTTATTTTCGGAATTGATTTAAAACCTTGTAACCGAACCGAAATAACCGAATGCCGAACCGAATTTTTATTCGGTTCAATTCGGCAAAATTTTTGATAACCGAAAAAACCGAAAAACCGAAAAAACCGAACCGAATAACCCGAAAAAACCGAATGCCCAGGACTATTAAAAAGGAAAAAACAAACAAGGAGATGTTTTCAGCTACGTGTCACAATCTCCAGTTTTTGCGTTTATTTATTGTTTCACCGTACGGATTTGTAGATAGGGTCAAGATTTTCATAACTTTACCGTAGTTAATATTGACCCAACCATGGTTAAAATAAAGCAGTTTATAACACAGAAACACACTTCTCTCATCTCTAGACTCACTCACAACAAAAATGATGATCGGAGAAAATAATAACCGGCCACATCCAACGATCCATATCCCTCAATGGGATCAAATCAACGATCCAACGGTCACAATCTCTTCACCATTCTCTTCCGTCAACATTAACGGCGTTAACGACTACCCACACTCTCCGTCACCGTACTTCGAATCCTTCGCTTCTCTCTTCCGTTACCTCCCGTCAAACGAGTTAACAAACGATTCCGACTCATCAAGCGGAGACGAGTCATCATCACTCACCGACTCGTTCTCCTCCGACGAGTTTCGCATGTACGAGTTCAAAATCCGGCGATGCGCTCGAGGCCGATCTCATGATTGGACGGAGTGTCCGTTTGCTCATCCCGGAGAAAAAGCTCGCCGACGTGATCCAAGGAAGTTTCATTACGCCGGCACCGCTTGTCCTGAGTTTCGAAAAGGAAGTTGTAGAAGAGGTGATTCGTGTGAGTTCGCTCATGGAGTTTTCGAGTGTTGGCTTCATCCTTCTCGTTATCGTACTCAACCGTGTAAAGACGGAACGAGTTGCCGGAGAAGAATCTGTTTCTTCGCTCATACGACGGAGCAGTTACGTGTTTTACCTTGTTCGTTAGATCCAGATCTTGGATTCTTCTCATCGACTTCTCCGACTTCGATTCTTGTTTCTCCTTCGTTTTCACCACCGTCGGAATCTCCGCCGCTTTCTCCGAGTACCGGTGAACTTATTGCGTCGATGAGAAAAATGCAATTGAACGGAGGTGGTTCCTGGAGTTCTTCTCCGGTGAGATCTGGAGTTAGGTTACCTTTTTCGTCGTCTTTGCGTCCGATTCAGGCGCAGACGTGGCCGAGGATAAGAGAGTTTGAGATCGAAGAAGCTCCGGCGATGGAGTTTGTGGAATCTGGGAAAGAGCTGAGAGCGGAGATGTATGCAAGACTCAGTAGAGAGAACTCACTCGGTTGAGTCGACTCGGTCGAGTCTTTGATGACGTGGCGACTCGGTCGAGTCTTTGATGACGTGGCGACTCGATCTGATTTTTATTTTTTTGTGAATATTGTGGTGATTTTTCAGGTGTGTAGATAAATGACGTGGCGACTCGATCTTTAGTGACGTTTCAACGGATGATGAAGAAAACAGCTAGGAGGAGAATTGAGAGCTATTCTTCTGGCTTTTTTCTCTGCAATTTTTAATATTTCTTGTTTTTTATTTTTGTTATCGGCTTTACTTTGTTTGTTGTTTATTAATGTTATATCATTTTGTAATTAGTTCTCAAATGTATTTGGATAATTATCTTTGTCTGAGAAAACAATATTTCAGTTGTTATTTCCTTGCTATCGATTTCCTTTGTTCTAAAATAATAGTCAAGGGGCAGAAATATTCAACAATGAATGAGAGAAAATAGACTATTGTGTAAAATGTTTTCTATTTATGATGTGCCCTCAAATCTCCCTACGATACATAATTAGGCCTGGGCAAAAAACCCGGATCCGAAAACCCGAACCGAAACCGATCCGAAAAAATCGGCGGGTACGGATATTAGCTATTTATCCTATTGGGTCTTGTATTGTCGTACCCGTGGGTATAGGGTAAAACCTGATACCCGAACGGATATCCGATTACCCGAAATTACATATAAAATTTTCAATATATCTAATATTTGAGTTAAATATATTTAGATCCAAATATCCGAGAGTAATTATCAAAAACTAAATACATTTATATTTAAATACTTAAGAATAAATATATGTATACACGAGATATTTGTAAGTTTTTTTGGATGTTTGGATAAAATTTTGGTTATTCCAGTAAAATTTCGGGTAAAAATTCGGATATTAGGATAAAATTTCAGATAAAAATCGGATATTCGGGTAAAAATTTCGGGTATTTGGGTAAATTTCCGGGTATTAGAGTAAAATTTTGGGTATTTGGGTAAAATCGGGTATAATTTAACCGAACCCGACGGTTACCCGATTTTTTTGGGTATTTAGCGGTTATGAAATTCTAAATCCGAACCGACCCGAACCCGATTGGATCCGAACCGAAACCGAACCGATATTTTAGATTTACCCTATTGGATCATAAACTCCTCTACTCGAAAGATCCGAACCCGACCCACGTAACCGAACGCCCAGCCCTAAAATTACATATTTTTAAGTAAACCGTAAATCTCACTCTGAAAAATAGACTAATGACTAGTGAATACTGTTAATTTGGTGTATAACTTTTTCATTTAAGAAGTGATTCTTCAGATTTAATGTTTTTCATTAGTACACGAACAACTTTATATGTCTTAGTTTCATTTATACTATGTGAGTACCCGCGCTACGCGCGGGATTTTGTTTTAATATTTTTTTAAATTTTTAAAAATTTATATGTATATATTATTAGATTCCTGTATTTTTATTAAAATTATATATTTGTTTTCAAATTTATTTTTGTATATCGTTGCATGTTTGAGACTAATATATACATTTTTAAAAAACAATTCTCATTTAGCTTTTAAGATATATTTTAATATTTTTTAATTATTATTTTAGTGTAATATCTATACAATTTGTAATTTTATATGGAGTTTATCAACTCTAATTGGAATGTTTTGTTTTTTTTAGTTAGAACAATTTATTTAATGTAAAAAGAAAAGCAAATATCCTCATAACTTTAAACTTGAATGTAAGACAAAATGATTGGCTCGAAAAGACCATGTCCACAGTTGTATTGAAGTATTTTATAAGAGAATTGATTTCTAAACTCCACTTTCTCTTGGTCTCCATTTTTTGTCCCCCCACTTTAACTAATTGTAGAAGTTGTTGTCGGCTTCTTGTTGGGATTTGGTTCTTCAAATGTGCTCCAGCCCTATAATGAATATTTTGTGTTATATATGTTTATGTAATTTTTTTTTTTATAATTATATTTACCTCGTCAAAGTCTTTATAACTTATGTTTGACACCTTGAAATTCTGATTCTTGGGGGTATAGTTGAGAGGGGATACTCTTATTTGGAAACGGAAATGTTTGCCAGCAAGATCACTTAAACATGTTGGTAAGATATTGTTGTTACCTTTGTTGCCCTACAAAAAATATTTATTTTTAGGTTTAATTGTTATTAAAAATGAGTAAAATTTGCAATATTATATGATAATTACTTTCCTAAGATTTTATTTACCTTCTCTTCCGTAATTGTGGTTGCCGTTTTGTTTGTAAGTTTTCTCATTTTTTTGTCTAAAATCACAAATGTCGCACCATGTTCTCCAACATGAACATCAAGCTCCACTCGATACCTATGAAATAGTTGTATATAATAGTATTTAAATATAAAAAATTCCAAATTGTTATATCTTTAATTCGTTGTGTTTGCAATTTATTAAAAATAGCTATAAGAAAATAATAGCGTACCTAAGAATTCCTTCCTCATTAGGCGTGACACAACTTTTGCATCTTTGTAGTGTTGTCCTTTTCTCTAAATTCCGTCCACAATCTTTGCAAGATCTGTATGTCCATCCGTTTCTTTGTAGCACCCCAACAACATAAGCGTTGCAAAAAAATTCAGCATCCTGAGTCTTTTAAAAGTGTTGTAGATTTATCAAGTTTAGTTAGTTGTACTTCTATTTATATGTGATGATAAATTAAAATACTCTATTGTATTAAATACCTGTTCGTTAGCTTTGGATATATAGTCGTAAAGTTCAGCAATGGATACTTCTTCTTTTTTCATGTCTCCCACCATGGTTTCTGCATGTCCATATGTTTCTCCTTCTTCTATTCCCATCCTATATGGATAATTAAACAATTGTTAAAATTTGTGTAGATAAGTAAATGTATTACTTTTTAGCTAATTTATTTAAACCTTACTCTTTTGTAAATTTTTGGATGACATCAAATGTTGAGTCAAAATATATCCTTGTTGCTTCCGTAGAATTCAAGTATAGGTTACCTTGTTCATGTTAAATGTATTTTTATTAATATAAAAGTTAGTATGATGTAAAATATTTGATTAAGTATATAATTAATTTATTATTAAAGGAATTACCTCCAAAGAGTTTTGGATTAATCGTTGTTACCACCATGACATTTTTGTTGGTTTTTTTTTTGGAAATTAGTGAGCAGAAAGTTGATGCAGCCTCACCCCAAAGTTGTAAGTAGACAATAACAGACCTAATTATCAAGATTTAATCATATAATATGATATATTTTTAAATAAATATGTTTTAGAAGTGTTTATAATTTAGTATCACTTACGTATCCATCTTAAATCGCATGACCAAACGTTCTTTTGAAGTTCCATCATGAAGGTTTGATCCTTGCACAAACATTACTTGTCCAACAACATCTGTAAATTGAATGTCATTGTTATTTTCTTTAACAATAAAATATATATATATATATATATATATATATATATATATATATATTATTTAGGTATTGAATATTTATAATGTGAATGTTTACCAGGTAGTGCAAGGTTTGTGTTTGCTAGAGCTTGGAGGAGGTTGCTATTCTGGAGCATGAACTTTTCTTGATTTATTGTTACGCCGATATTTCCTATCTTAGTCATGTTTGTTGATGGAAGAAAACGGATGGCTAATGGATTGTCTGTAATCTTGTATAGATTTGTACTTCTTCCCACTTCAAACCCACTAAGATTGAAGATTTCACTTTCTTGTAAAACATAACGGTTATGGTCGACAAGTGAAGCAGGTATGAAACCATGTATAACTGTGTTCTGCAAATAAAATGAGATTATGGTTTAGTTGTTGGTCGCTACATTGAAGGCCAATATGTATTAAAAATATTTTAAAAAATTGGTAATACCTTTTCATCAAGGAAAAGAAGGACAATCCCCATTAATTCGCCATCCTCTTTATTATTGGTAGCTTCCCAAAACCGAAGGAGCCTTCCAACAATTTGTTGATTAGATCGTCCTAGTTGTAAAGCATCAAACGTGACATAAGAAGCATCTTGTGGGATAGCAACAATGTCAAATGTAGCCATGTTGTAATGATTATAAAATTTAGTTATAGGTGGTTTTTTTTTTTTCCTAAAATGGTTTGTCTTTAGTTGTTTGGTATTTATTGCTGTTAAAGGAGTAATTGCATATATGTAGTGGGTGAGTGCTAGATTATTTGTAATTTATGATGTTAATTATTCTGTCCGTTGTAACGTTTTTGATTTTTAATGTAATTGAATTCTCTATATTATTTAAATAATTGAATGTTGTGTGTTTTAATGTTTTTCATCATTGTTTAATTTGGGTTGAATATGATGCGTTTTGTTTTCCTATTACTATTTGTATTTTATTTAAAATTAATGCAACTTTTAGTGGAAGAAGCTAATTAATTTGTTGACTTGTAATTTATATGTAACCGTCGCTTGTTATTGTTTCGATTGGATCAATAGTAGAAGCTGCTCCGCGGGATATGTATGACGAATCAGATTATATTGGTGTTGTTAATAACAGCCCCAATTAATGTTTTATTTTCTGTTGTTATTTCAAGTTGTTATTTCAAGTTGGGACTTGTCGAATCAAGCCCATTATATCATGGTCGTACGGTTTTTAGGTTCCATTTGGTTGTGGCTTTTTTATTTTATTTTTTTGTAGTTATTTAAGATCCATAAGGGAATTTTATAAGTTTTTGTTTGTTTTTCATACGAATAGAAAAAAAGAAGTTTTTGTTTAGTTTGGTTCGGATATTTGTTGGTTTGGATTCTTAAAAAGAGGGCTGATTAATATATATGATCCTAATCCCTTTGTAATGACCGTAATCCCGTTTAAATATAATTTTAAAATTTCTATTTTATTTATATGTGTGTATTTATATTTATTTTAATATATATATATATATATATATATTTTTAATAATTTTAATTTTTTAAAGGGTGTAAGTTAAAGCTTTTTTGGTTGAATTTGGAGATTAGTTTGCGGTGGTACATATAAACTGCCGTGTGTTTTTTTTAAAAAAATTATACATTATTTCTTTTTTTAAAAATTTTTTTCATGTATTCAGAAACTTTGCTTTGGGCGCATTGTTTTTAGTCGTAGTAAAATAACTTATCCTTTATAACATTATTCCTTTCCAGTCCATATTAGGCTATATGTTATTTTCATTTTTCCATGGTTTTAATCCTGTTGCGTAATATGGTTTTATTTTCCAGATAATTAATGGTGGTAATCTTTTAGCAGTTGTTCTAATTTATGTATAGATATAGGTATCCGCAAAACACTGTACGAATGTCCTTATTTGAAATATAAAATGGTGCTGGAGAAGGAGTTGTTTAATGCGTTAATGTTTCCGTATTGTAGTATTGTTCCTTTTTAGCTACTTACCATGTTGATTTTTGTTAAAGGAATCCTGTGTCTGTCTTTGTGTTGTAATATAATATTTTCCTGATTGCGTCCAATTATAATTTTGGGTTTAGGTTAGAGACATGTGAATATATATATTTCATCCCTGTTAATTAAGTATTTTTTTTTTATATAAATCTGTTCTCTCAGTTTCAGTTTTTATTTTTCTATTTTTTTTTTTGGTTATAATTAAAAAAACCATTGAGGTGATACAGTTATTGGTGACGGTGTTAAAAAACAATAGCGTATCCGTGGGATATAGTTCTCTTCCATTATTCATATTCGTTGTTTGTTATTATGTTCCAATTACCTTTAGAAATCGGTATCTGTTATCTGTTTCTAGTGTTGTTTAATTGGGCCTGTTGCCCGCGTGCGTAAACTGGTTATAATAACAATAATGGCCCATGACCCGTTTATATTCACTCTAAATTAATTGGGTTTATCGGTTTAGGCTAGTGGGCTTTGTGGGTTTCGATCACAATTAAATTAAATGGGTAGCCCATTTCTCCATCTTTTCAACATATTGGTAAACGGCCTGTTGTAAATTTGGTGAGTCTAAACAATTAGGATAGAAACGTGTAAGGGTTTAAACACACTGTTTCAATGTCTCCCTGGCGGCCATCTCTTTTTCGATTGACTCTCTGTTCATTTCTGTCTTTGCCTCTAAGCGGCCCCAGGTAATTTTATTTTGAAAGTCAATCTAACTATATTATATTATTCTTTTTAGGTTGTTTTCGGATATGTATTTGATATTGTTTGATGCTAAATTAATTATGTCAATGTTTGATTTTCCTTCTTTTTTCAAACCTTTTGAAAACAAGTTTCTCAGTTTGTTGATTGGTTTATGATTTTAGCAATTTGATAAATTTTGATATTTTGTATTGTTGTATTAATCGAATTCTAGTTAGGGGAGAGGTTGTAGTGTAATTTACGTATGTCAGCTTTATCATTTTTTTTTGTAATTTTTTGGTCAATTAATCATTGTTCTTATATCGACGTATTTTGTATTTCTTTTTTCCATTTGATATAGTAAATAATAATGTTATCATGATTACTGGGAAAAGCAAGCGAAAATAAACACATTTTGTTATCAAATAATAAAAACGGCTTTTAAACTGGTTTTTTTTCCCCTTCTTACATCATGAAAACAAATTTGACCATTAGCTTGTAGTGGAAGCATTTCTCGCATGTGTTTTGCATGTCATTTATGTTACACATGTATGGTGGCATCATTGCCCATAGTGAGTTGATATATTCTTGCTTCCTCAGAATCCCAATTCCATGGAGTGCAGTTTTGATTTTTTCCCAGCATTCTTCAACTACAGATTCATTCGTGTTCCTCAGCAGGTGGTCAATATGTTTTTTCCCAATTTCAAACTCACCACTGCACAAATTAATCATCCCAGTTAGATAAATAGCCTCGTTGATAGGGGATGGGGCATTGGCAGCTTTTTCCAAAAAATGTAACCCAGCAATTGTATTGTCGTAATAAAAATATTCAAGCACTCCTTGAACATAGTGAGCGGTGGGGTTAGCGTGGATTAGGCATTTCATCATTAGGTCAGTGTAGTTCCCAACAGCAAGCAACGGCTGCCTCTGAAGCATTTGCAGTTCCAACCTTTTAAAAACTTGGACATCATCAACTGATTTCCGATTTCCTTGCAAGTGAGTAGGCAATTAGAAACATCTGCACGAGATGTCTGGCCGACAATTCCAATTATTTTTGAAATAACATCTCGAGGAAGGGCATCAAGCGGTGTTGAATTTTCAGTTGCAAGAGGTTTGGCTTGATGTTGTCTTAGTTTAGATGCTCTTTGTTTTCCAGTCATTTTGTTATGTTCCTGCATTACGAAGAAGATAAGATATTAGAGTTTACAACATAAGTATGTATTGTGAATTTTAAAGTAGTACATTTCATAGTCAGAAAAGGGTTGATGGTAAAGAATGATGAGAATGATGTGCTTACTCTGCTACTTATTCGTAAAAACTTGGAGAGTGATGAATGATTGGTGGCCAGTTATATATATATAGCAGGTCATTTAATACTAATGTGTGTAACATGTTATTAGGAACGATTGCTTTATTATTAAGTAAATTAAATTGGCCGTAATTTCAGGATGTTTTAATAAGCGAAATAAACTATGAGATACTCTTTTTAGATTTCCAGAAAACGTTTTTTTTAAACGGTTTTTTTAAGAAGGTGAAATCGTGGGCATATGAATAAATGAGTAATTTACTACCTCGTTTCAATAATTACTAATTTATGTTACGAATTGAATGTTCAGATTAGTGGGCGAGACCCCTTAGTGATATTCATTTCCATTTATTTCGAATATATTTGGAGTAACCATTAACTATTTTCTTCATCGGGTCCATATATAGATTACAAGGATGGCTGTTATTTAAATCATAAATTTACTATATTGAATAAATTTCAAAATTACAATATTCCCACTAAACAGTTTGTCTTTAAATATTTAAATTTGACCTGTCTTGGTTCGACGGGGATCACAAGTGGTACCTGTTATTTTTTTATAAAGATTTAAATCGTTATTGTTTTTTGAGGAGGATAGTAATTTGATTATTTCTTTCTGAAATTTTATAAGGACAGTGTTGAATTGGTGCCGTCAAAGATATAGTGTGGTTGTGGCAACGTTGGTAAAGCAATTTGTACGATTTGGAAAATACGAATTACAGACTGATTATTGAATTTTTTTTGGTTTTTATTTGGTTTTTTACGTCAACTGGTTATTGAATTAGTTGCTCAATTAATTATATACATTGTCAGTTAAGGGCTTTGTACTATTACTAATGAGAATACAATTATTAAGTTCTCGATTTACATTTGTATAAGTTAAATTCCTTGGTTAGACTTTTTTATATCAATTTGACTAAACTGTGTGGCTTATAATATACGGGAAAAATAGTGGATTACAGTTTGAGAAGGGGTTTTGATTGATCATAAGTAGCTATGTAGCAATGAAATACTACATATGGAGGTCATAATTATATCCAACTGAAGATGTCAACTATAAACTGGTTCTTAAATATTGAAAGTAGATGTTTCGATGTTAGTGTCGGCCCTTGTTTTGTTGTTGGTGGGTTTTTATTTTATGCGGAATAAATAAATATGATATATGGTATTAAGCTGATGCTTCTTTTGTTTTGTAGTATATATAAAGAAGGTTTTATTTTCCTGATCAAATAAAAGGATACGATATAATTCAAAATATGGAGTAATAATGTGAATTGGGAATAACAACTGTTTAGCAATGTTTGATTGAAAGACGGTAATAGAAAAGAAGAACTACAACGTAAAAGGACGACAATGTTTCTTCTCAGTGATCCAACAGCCGAAAATGAAAAAATCTTGTACTCCTCCATCTTTGGTGTTGAAGCTCATTAGTAAATTAGGGCTGTCATGGAAGGTCTGGGGTGCCCAACGAGAAGGTTTTCTGGATAATTATACTCCTTTCAGTTGTTTTTAATTTTTATGAAATGGTAAATAAAATTTAGAAGAGGAAAAATATATGACAGTTCTTACTTGAGCCTGACCCGGAAAATTGGGAATCCTAGCTACTGTGAAGCTACGATTAACTTCTGAAAAATTGAAGGCAGTGATTTTGATTTCGAAAAGAAAATGATTTCCTATGAGGTCATCCATGTATGTAGACAGGTCTGGAAAGAAGGTTTCATTCACCTAAATAGGGTAAACAAATTGGAAACCAAAAGAGTTAGATATTAGTATAAAACCATTTGAAATGTACTATAAAATATGGTTTTAAATTTGGTTTACCTTAGTGTGCAACTTTCCATATGAAATTGGACATATTAGATGCATTAGGTCATAATTTGATACAATAAATGTTGCTATATCACTACCGTCTAAAACAGCTAATGCGACATGAAACCTGTAATATATAGAAAGCTATATTAGATATTTGTTTTCAAGTGAAATGTATATTTAGTTTAAAGAATTGATATGCGACCTGTCATTTGTGTAAACGTTGGTGTCTTGGCAGTTACTACAAAGAAGTGAATTTTGGTGTGGTTCCAGAGTCCCTAGACAAGTAGTGCATGTCATGTTGTTCCAGCCATATGTTGATAAGACATCCACAACTGTAGCTTGGCATAGAAAGTATGCATCCTACATTTCATTGTGATTGTGTGTTTTAATTAGATTAGTTTCTTTTTCCTAGATGGCTAAAAGTGAGACATACCTGTTGAACTCTTTTTGAAGTGAATTCACACAATTTTGCAATACACGTTGTTTCTATTTTTGGGCTGTTTGCTGCTAAGTCGATGATGGTAAATGTTTGGTTTCCTGAAACACCAAAACTTAAGAAGAGAGGTTTTGTTTTTATTAGTATTTTTATTTTATTTAAAAAAGTGGGTAAATTTTAAAATAGACTTACCAATTAGTAAACTTAGAGATTGGCGCAATGTGTTGGTTGAAAAAAAACCGTGTGTATATTGTTCCATCCAAGAAAAGTGTCCCTGCATGTAAAGCTAATTTAGAAGACCAAATACATTATTGCTTAATGGGAATATGGATTTATTTTTTGGTTTGGGAAAATAGTCGTACCATCAAGAATTGTTGGATTAACAGCTGTTACCAAAACAACAAATGTTAAAGAGATTGGACCAGATAGGATGGCTCGAAGGCGAGAAGCAGTTTTAGCCCAAAGAGACAAGGAGACAATTACATTTCTGTATGAAGATCAAAGTGATTAATTTGTTTTTGGGAAAGAGATAATAGAAAGGTTAGAAACAATTATGTTTGAATATAAGATTTGAAACTTACGGTTGGAGCCATAAATTAACAACAATTTGGTTTGTTGTAGTTGGGTCACAAAGGTTTGAACCTTGGATTGAAATTATTTTTCCTACAACATCTGTATTGAGTTGGAAATATGTTAAAACCAAAGAACAGGCAATATGAAAGCAATATTTAAAAGCATGTTGTTTTAAATATTTGGTAGGTTAAAAAGCTTAAACTTTTGTTTAGTAAACAAAAATTATTAAATTGGAAATCATGAAAAGTTAAAATTTACCAGGCAAAGCAAGATTTGTGTTGGCAAGACCAACCAAATGAGCATGATTGTGAACTCTGAATTTTTCTTTTGCTATCTTCAGCCATGATTCTTTTTCGACAATGAATGTGGTTTCATTGTTGAATTTGATAACAAAAGGATGGTCTGTGATTTTGTTGTGTTTAGTGCATGGCCTAACTTCGAACCCTTGAATTTGTAAGATTATTCCTTCTTTGAAAATACCATTGTATTTTTCAGCTAGTGATGCAGGGATGAAGCAATGAGTTGCAGAATTCTGTTTAAAAAGATACGTAGTTAGATTTGGAAGTTTATGGAGAAGAGATTAATGAAAAATATATAATTGTTTTTTTCCTACTAAATGGACAAGGATACCTTCTCATCAAGCAGGAGGAGTGAATGGCCGAGAAATACATGACGGTCGGTGACGGTACGTATTTCGGTGTGAACTTCCCACATTCTAACAATACGAGCAACAACATGTTGAGCATGAATTCCAAGTTGTAAATCATCAAATGCAACATAGGTAGCTAGATTTTGATTAGGAGCATTCATGAGAGACATTTTGCTTGTAAGTGATATGGAGTAGGTTTTGTTATTAGGCTATATTTTTACGTCAGGATTTAAAGAGTGGATAATAATGTATATATAGTGTTTTTATTTTGTGTGAGTTAAAATACCCACTATTATCTATTAAATGAGTATTAAATTGAAAGGAAATGAGAGATCATAACGTTTCAATAGTAATGTACTGAATGTGAAAGTATTTAATGTAGGTAGGAAGTGGCATCTCAGCATTAAGGAGTGGAGTGGTTTTTTTTCGATTTTGTTCCTGGTTTTTATCTTAGAGGGTGTTGACTATATCTATAAGAAACATGGGGAAACCAATAGGTCCTACTAATTTAGGAACTAAACGAAGCCCAACCTAGTAGCAGAGTAGAACTAATTAAATGTAATACTAATGGGTATAAGAGCCTATTATGACTATATTAGAAATAAAGATTAAGGTCCACTAACCATGAGTTTAGGAAGCTGCACCGATTTTCTTCTCCTTCACCAGTCTGTTACTCTGTTTCTTCATGGAGCCGCCGCGTGAAACTGATGGGAGAGACGACAGACGAAAACCCTAAGTAATATTTACTATGGCTGGGCTTTAAACTTGAAATTATAAACAAACAACAATCGAAAGCCCAACCCATTTATTATAATTATTTTCTAAACCCATTAAAACAAACTCACATTAAAAATTAATAAAATACAATCCAATAACTTATAAAACACAAAGCCCAGCCCAGTTCTTTAGCATAAAAAACCTAGATCTATCGTTGATATCTTTGCAGCCGCTTCTCCTTACATAAAATAAAACCCTAGATCTTAGCGTCTCCTCTTCCATTTGTAGCCGTTTTTTCTTCTGCCTCTCCTAGAATAAGATACGGCTTTGCATCAGTGGGGATCCTTCAATTTTGAGAGCGTCGACTAGTCTTTAAAGGTTACTCTTCCTGATACCATCGACGTAATAACATTATCTCCTATTATTGTTGGTTTATGATGATGACTTTGATCATAAAATGTTTACATTGATGGATTATGATGGTGTCTTGATTATTGAACGATTGTGATGATTGCAGGAGCCTCGCGAATTCATTCTGTTAGTGTATTTCACCGTCGTCGTGTCGTTACCGTCATCGTGTTGTCACCGTCGAGAAGCTTACATTTACTCGAAAAGCCAAATTTTTAATGTATTTGGGCCTGTTGTAAAGATGTAAATTTGCTATTGGACTTGTAATATATTATAGGTTTGTTATTTAGTTGTAAATATGTTAATTGGCATGTTTTTTTTTGGTGGGCTTGTTTTTATTTCCGGTTAACCGAAAATAAACCGAATTAACCGAGAAAAAAAAAAATTCGGTTCAATTCGGATGAGATTTTAAAGCATATAACCGAACCGATAAAACCGAGAACCGAACCGAACCGAACCGATTTTTTGTTCGGTTCAATTCGGCAAGATTTTGAAATAACCGAAAAATCAAAAAACCGAATAAACATAACCGATTAAACCCAAGTAAACCGAACGCCCAGGCCTACATAATTAGATGCTGATGTGTAAAAAATTAAAGCTGACTCATATTAACGAAATGTTTTGATTGGATGCCTAGAAAGCTGATGTGTCAGCTCCACAATAGCTAAAAATGCTGACGTGTCACTCTCCTGGAGAGAGTTAGGGGGGTGTATTGGAAGTAGGATTTTAATTTTTTTTGGGATTTTAGTAAAATCACCTGTTATTGAATTTGGGATTTTCAAATCTCTTCTCAAATCCAATGTTATTCAAACAACAATTTCTAAAGTTGATATCAAATCAACTGTTATTCAAATAATAATTCCTAAAATTGATTTTAAATCAACTGTTATTCAAAACACAACTTCTTTTTAATAAAAAAATCATGACATTGATTTTGGGAGACTTTGGATACAATTTTACATAAAAAAAATCCAATTGAAAAAATAACACCTTCGGAGGTGTTATTTTTGAAGAATTTTCTTTAAACAAAATTAAAAAAAAAAAGAAAAGAGAAATTGTCCTCATTCTCATCGTCAAAAACAAGACAGTCATTTTCTCTTCCTTCTCGGTTGTGACATCGCTTGGAGATTTTCGTTCGTGTCTCTCTTTTTGTTCATCATTTTCAATCTGGGTAAGTTTTCAAATTTGTTAATTCAGTTGAATTTCCCAACCCAAAATTATGGATTTCAATTTTCCTCATGATTTACGGTGGTCGACGGCCATAAGGCTGGTCTAATTTCTTACACAGTTCATTGCTTCACCAGGATCTTCTAATCTGATCATCCTTGATTTTTCCGGCAGTAAATTCTACACTACTTCCTTTCCTTTATCCGGTGGTAAACACAAAAGTCACTCTTTTGTATCATCTATGGATCTGATCCTTATATTATTTTTGTATATGAGTAGTGAAATCGTGGATGCGTAAAAATGATATGGGCTGCTCTTATATATTATGATGGGCTTTCACGTTTAGCTTTATTAGGGTTACTTGTTAGGTGTATAAATACTCACAATCAATAACTTTTTCTTAGCAGCTTATACAATTACTATCGATATACTTCAAGCTGTATCTCTTTTCTGTCAAAGTGAGTATTCTCTTGATTTTCTTTTGTTAATTTGTTTCTATTTTAATTACTTTCATGCTCTTTTAGGTGATGTTCCTCTTTGATCATATAATAATATATACTGAAACGTGCGTTCTTAATGTGGTGTGAGAAACATTGGATGTTGTTAGTTTACGGCTAGCTGCAATTAGAAAGTACCATCTTTGTTCTTCGAATGATATGGTTTATGGTAGAATTGTTTGGGTTTAGAAATTGTTTAGTGGGAATGTGGGATATATCAAAAATCATATGTAGAACTGTTTTGCTTTATAACAATTAGAATGTCTGCTTTACATATTTTTTTATATTGTATGGCCAGTTCCGACACTACAATGGAAGATACACAAGATACACAAGATACACAAGATACACAAGATGCCAAAGGTCCATATAAAAAATGGTCTGAACCTCAACACAAGATGTTATTGCGTCTGCTAGTAGACGCAATCAATCATGGTTTTCGTGATGCTAATGGCAAGTTTAACAAATTAACGGTGGAAACAAGAATATTACCACCTATAAACAAACAGCTTGGAGCTAAGAAAACCTACAGTGAGTACCGAAATAGGATGAAGATCTTGAAGGGTAGGTACAAAAGCATGGCGGAACTTCTTCGTTTTAGTTCAGGGTTTGGGTGGGATCCTGAAACGAAAAAATTCACCGCTAGAGATGAAGTCTGGGATGACTATTTGAAGGTAAAAAAATTACAACATAAACTTGATGAATATAATAGTGTTGCTTATGTATACAAACTGACTATAGATTTGTTTTTTCTTAAATAGGCTCATCCAAACAAAACAAATATGCGTAATGAGTCATTTGAAGATTTTGAAGATTTAAGAATGATATTTGGATCTAATACTGCAACTGGGCTTAATGCTGTGGGTTTAGGCGATACCGTTGATGCAGATTCTTACCAAGTTGGAGAGAATGACGGGATAATGGATGATATGGACAGAATACCATACGCTGAGAAATCTGTGCACGACGTTTTCTCTTCAATTGAGAAAAACAGGTTAGAAAAGCTTCCTCAACGAAAGAAAGCTAGAACTGATGCATTTAATTCGAACAAAGCTTTTGATGAAGTGAACACAGTGCAAGAGTTCGGTAATCAGATTCTTGGCATGATACAAAGAAGATGGGAAAAAGAAACTGAAGAAAAAGAAGCTGAAGACAAAGCTGAGAATGTGTGGGAAGCTATTACAGAAATTCCTGATTTGACCATCGATTTGCGTTACGAAGCCATGACGTTGGACATTAACTTTCTCAAATTCACAACCACACCACGAATTCTCTATTTTTATACTATAGACGACGTTGAACATATTTTCAAACGTATTGCAGAGAGAATCCAGTTTTTCTATTTTGTTGTAAAGCAACGTTGCAAAGAGAATATGTTTTTTGTGTAAACCAATGTCGCAGTGTTTTGTTTTGTAAATCCAATTTTTCTATTTTTTGTTTTAAAAATCTCACCAAATCATCCAAGATTATCTATTTAAAATCACCAAATCTCATCAAATAAAATCTCACCAAATCATCAAATATTTTATAATTCCACCATTCAACTCACTTAACTTTCTCAAAATCCAAAATTTCCTAAATTCCACCAAATCCTCTCAAATCTTTAATTCAATACACCCCCCCTTAGCCTCCTTTTAAGTATTTGATTGGGCATTTAATCAATACTGTAAAAGTATATATGGTTATCAAGTTAATTAAAATGCAACAAAGACGTATTAAATTAATAAAAATACAATGACATAACAGACGATTAATTAAAAATACGTAATTAGTTCTCAAATTTAAGATAAAAACTCAAACAAACATAACACAACGTTTAACAAAAAAAAAAAAAAGACACAGAACAATAGTAAAGAGTTTTGTTCAAAAAGTAATAACAAAATAAAAATAGAATAGAACTAGAATATTCTTTTTTGAGGAAAAATAGTAGGCCTGGGCATTCAGTGATAACCGAGAAAACCGAACCGAAAGAACCGAGTGGAAAATGGCTTATCAAATGATGGCTATGTCTTTGAAGGTTCCACCGAAAACAGGTTAGACTTAGCATCTCGTCCTTTTGATCCGTAATTTTTGTGGTGTTATAAGTTCAACATGTTTTCACGTATTTAGAATTAGTTTTAAGATTTTTTTCAAAAATAATGTTTTAAGTAAATCAATTAGATATTTTTTAGCTAAAATTTTTTTATTATACAAAATATTTTCAAACTTAAATGTTAAATTTAAATACGTGAAAATGGTTAGACTTAGCATCCCGTCCTTTTGGTCCGTAAGTCTTGTGGTATCATAAGTTCAACATGTTTTAACACATTTGGATTTAATTTTAAGGGTTTTTTCAAAAAAAATGTTTTAAGTACATCGCTTAGATATTTTTTAGCTAAAACTTTTTTATTATACAAAATATTTTCAAACTTAAATGTTAAATTTAAATACGTGAAAATGGTTAGACTTAGCATCACGTTCTTTTGGTCCGTAAGTCTTGTGGTGTCATAAGTTCAACATGTTTTAACACATTTGGATTTAATTTTAAGGGTTTTTTCAAAAAAAATGTTTTAAGTACATCGCTTAGATATTTTTTAGCTAAAAATTTATTATACAAAATATTTTCAAACTTAAATGTTAAATTTAAATACGTGAAAATGGTTAGACTTAGCATCCCGTTCTTTTGGTCCGTAAGTCTTGTGGTGTCATAAGTTCAACATGTCTTCAAGTATTTAGATTTAATTTTAAGGTTTTTTTAAAAATAATGTTTTAAGTAAATCCTTTAGATATTTTTTAGCTAAAAATTTTTTATTATACAAAATATTTTCAAACTTACATGTTAAATTTAAACACGTGAAAATAATTCGACTTAGCATCCCGTCGTTTTGGTCCGTAAGTCTTGTGGTGTCATAAGTTCAACATGTTTTCACGTATTTAGATTTAATTTTAAGGTTTTTTCAAAAATAATGTTTTAATTAAATCGCTTAGATATTTTTTAGCTAAAAATTTTATATTATACAAAATATTTTTAAACTTAAATGTTAAATTTAAATACGTGAAAATGGTTAGACTTAGCATCCCGTCCTTTTGGTCCGTAAGTCTTGTGGTGTCATAAGTTCAACATGTTTTCACGTATTTAGATTTAATTTTTAGTTTTTTTCAAAAATAATGTTTTAATTAAATCGCTTAGATATTTTTTAGCTAAAAAAATTTTTATTATACAAAATATTTTAAAACTTAAATGTTAAATTTAAATACGTGAAAACGGTTAGACTTAGCATCCCGTCCTTTTGGTCCTTAAGTCTTGTGGTGTTATAAGTTCAACATGTTTTCACGTATTTAAATTTAATATTAATGTTTTTTCAAAAATAATATGTTTTAAGTAAATCGTTTAAATATTTTTTACCTAAAATTTTTTATTTTACAAAATATTTTCAAACTTAAATGTTCAATTAAATACGTGAAAACGGTTAGACTTAGCATCCCGTCCTTTTGGTCTGTAAGGCTTGTGTTGTCATAAGTTCAACATGTTTTTACGTATTTAAATTTAATTTTAATTTTTTTCAAAATAATATTTTAAGTAAATCGTTTAAATATTTTTTAGCTAAAATTTTTTTATTATACAAAATCTTTTCAAACTTAAATGTTAAATTTAAATATGTGAAAACGGTTAGACTTAGTATTTCGTCTTTTTGGTCTGTAAGTCTTGTGGTGTCATAAGTTTAATATGTTTTCACGTAATTAAATTTAATTTTAAGGATTTTTTTTAAAAATAATGTTTTAAGTAAATTAATGTTTTAAGTAAATTGTTTAGATATTTTTAGCTAAAAGTTTTTTACTATACGAAATATTGTCAAACTTAAATGTTCAATTTAATACGTGAAAACAGTTAGACTTAGCATCCCGTCGTTTTGGTCCGTAAGTCTTGTGGTATCATAAGTTCAACATGTTTTCACGTATTTAAATTTAATTGTATTAATCCAAAAATTAATATGATTAGGTTATAGTTTTACTTTCTTTTTGGTTTTAATTTTTACTTTTAATTAAACGGTAACCAAACAGGATATATATAATCGGTACGTTACTCACAAGTAAATAAGTAAAAACAAGAAAATTGGGCAAGAAAGTTGTAATTTTAAAGAACATGTAGTAAAAGTTGTACTCTTATAATTCAACTTGGGCAGGAAAATTGTTCGAGTGATTTGGGTTAGAGACGGCACTAATACTTGCTAGTTGTTTTGATTTTGAAGGAAAAACGGTCTATTTTCCCCCGAGAACTATCGTATCTGGCTAGATAAATCCCGATCTTTGACCTCTGTCTATATACCCATAAAACGAAAGTTAAATGTTTATTTCCCCACCAATTGAAAGTTCGAGAGCTTAATGTCCATGAATCCTGGTTTCGTCGGTTTAGTGCATAAACCCGAGACAGAACCATGTTTCGGTCGTAACTTAACAAAAAAAAAAACGATTCCTTTTTTAAACCCGACCCATTGCCGATTGGATAAAGAACAGTGCCTTTGCGTCTTTCTTCCGATTCTCCCGTAAACGTTGATCAGGCTCTGGTGGATTCTGATCTTCAAACTCATTCTCGACCAAATCCCATAACTCCTGCGACCAAAACATTGTCTTCATCTTGAGACTCCACAGATGGTACTTCTCCCCTTTGAACGTTGGAATAAGAGCTTGCAGATTCGTGCCGTTGCCATTGTTTGCCATCACTTCGTCTTCTTAAGAGAATTGAAACCTGGAATCGCTCTGATACCACCATTGTTGGAGAAATCAGAAAATTGCAGGAAAGAAGAAGAATTGAAACTGAAATTTACTCGATTGAATTGAGAAGTACTAAGTCTGAAAGTACAAAGTGCAAAGCTTAAATAGAGAAGAAGATAATTACGCATAACCCATGATAAGAAAATCCGAAATTAAACAAAAACAAGCTAATTAACTACCCACGATTGCTAAACCATAAACCCACGATTCAATTTTAAATCAATCAACACTCAGTATGTTGTATATCTCCTTCACAACCGTCTCAAACGCAGCTGCCACGTTTGATGAGTCCAAAGTCGATGTCTCCATGAAGAAAAGACCTTGTGCTTCAGCCAATGACTTCCCTTCCGCTGTTGACACTTCTCTCAAGTCCTTCAGATCCGACTTGTTGCCCACCAGGATCGTCACAACATTAATCAGAGTGTGCTGCAACAGTTTTATGAAGACAACCCTCAGTTTCATTATTCTTGAATCAATTATCATTAAAACTGATCTCTATCTTCAGCTTCGGGATCGACATCACCAACAAGATCAGGGTCGTGAAGGACTAACGACATCGATCAAATTTGGGGAAAAGTGATTTGGGGATTCTAGGGTTCGTCGAGAGCAATTTGGGGATTTTCGATTTTTGGTTTCAATTTTTGGTTTCGATTTGTTTTTTTGGGTAATGAGTCATAAACGGGTTGTAATTTGGGTTTAGGCTGGTTCTAATTAAGTTTAATTGGTTAAAGCATCGGTTTGGTATACAATAAACCAATTAAACCCAGCGCTATGGGGTTTTAAATATCGAACTTAAGATTCATGGACATTAAGCTCTCGAACTTTCAATTGGTGGGGAAATAAACATTTAACTTCCGTTTTATGGGTATATAGACAGAGGTCAAAGATCGGGCTTTATCTGGCCAGATACGATAGTTCTCGGGGGGAAATAGACCGTTTTTCCGATTTTGAACGTTATATTTTCATATACCATTTTTCTTAAGTATCCATTGTCACAACAACTAACGAGAGGCCGTAACTATGGCGGATGGCGCTTGAATGCGATGATCAGGATATATATAAGAAAATAAATCTTTTAATACTGATCAAGTAACAAGTATACTTAATAAATTAATACTGATCAAATAACAAGTATTTAAGAAAATAAATCTAAGGTGGTTATTGGTTACTTCTTGTACTTGTAATCAGTAACGTAGGTTTTTTTTTTTTTTCTGCAAAGAACACTTATATTGATTGTATACGATCAAAATACATGAGTTCAGTCAACCAAATTGGTGGATTTACACAATCGGAATAGAAGGTTCTATTTAAACAACCTTTTTTTGCTAGAGAATGAGCTACTTTATTACATAACCGGTTTGTATGAACACAGGAAACATCCCTAAACTTTGCTTTCCAAAAGAGAATATCTTGGTGCAGTCCATCAATTGCTATATCATTGGAGACACCATTGATGATGTTAATTAAAACCTCGCAGTCTCCTTCAAACATAACTGCCGTAAATCCCCTTAACCATGTTTGTTGTAATGCAAAAAGTAGAGCGTGCCCCTCAGCTTCAAGCGGTGATCGTGCTTGGTGTAATGTTGCTGCTCCCCAACATTTAGAGAAACCATCAGTAACGTAGGTTTTTAATTATTGTATTAAGTTAATAAATATAAACTAGTAACTAGGTTATAGTTTCATTTTTGGATTTAAAATTATCGTGTTTTTATTAAACTTCAAAGGGTAACGAAACGGGATAATAAATCTATAAGTAAAGAGACGAGACAACTCAAGTGAACCATTTTTTACAGACGATGTATGTATTTGGAAAATAAAGCATGGCGAGACATTAAGAACTTAAACATGTTAATTAACATGAACAAAGAATACAAAACATCACAAAAAGGAAAACATCTGTCTTCGTAAATGTCCCCTAATAAACCGAAAAACATAACATTTTTGTTTTTATGAAAAGTAGAAAGAGACATAAATGGATTCACAAAACCAAACATTAAAACTAAAAACGAAAGAAAAAAAAAAAAAAAAAAAACAGAAAGATTCAATCCTCATCACCTAACCAATTCCGCTTCAACTTCGGACCAGTAGGTCCTTCCTCTCCAAAAACTTCGTTAGGCAATCCTTTAATCGCACTCCTAAACGTATTCTTAAGAGTCTCCCCAACCATAATCTTCTCCACAACTCTAATCTCATTTTCATGACCATAATCAATCTTTGGTCCCCAATAATCTAAGATTACTATCACCGTACATTCCTGGATAAACAAATAATCTAAGATTACTATCACCGTACATTCCTGGATAAACCTATAAACTAAGGCAAACAAAGTTTGTGTTATTTGCATATGATGAACAAGATGTAGTTAGTGTGATGGAAGACAAAAAAAGAAAAGAAGAAAACCTGCCAACCAGCTTCAATCCGTGTTAAAAAAAATCGCTAGAGGCTAGTCGGGCGGTGAGGGTGGGCCTAGCGCTTAGCAAGAAAATCGGAGATTAAACGGAGATTAATCGGGGATTAGTTTTAGGGCTATTTAATGTTTTAAAAACATATTAATCCATTATAACTAAGAAATTTATATAATATTGTTTTTAAAATTGCATTAAACACATAAAAACAAGATTTAGGGGGGTGTATTGGAAGTAGGATTTTAATTTTTTTTGGGATTTTAGTAAAATCACCTGTTATTGAATTTGGGATTTTCAAATCTCTTCTCAAATCCAATGTTATTCAAACAACAATTTCTAAAGTTGATATCAAATCAACTGTTATTCAAATAATAATTCCTAAAATTGATTTTAAATCAACTGTTATTCAAAACACAACTTCTTTTTAATAAAAAAATCATGACATTGATTTTGGGAGACTTTGGATACAATTTTACATAAAAAAAATCCAATTGAAAAAATAACACCTTCGGAGGTGTTATTTTTGAAGAATTTTCTTTAAACAAAATTAAAAAAAAAAAGAAAAGAGAAATTGTCCTCATTCTCATCGTCAAAAACAAGACAGTCATTTTCTCTTCCTTCTCGGTTGTGACATCGCTTGGAGATTTTCGTTCGTGTCTCTCTTTTTGTTCATCATTTTCAATCTGGGTAAGTTTTCAAATTTGTTAATTCAGTTGAATTTCCCAACCCAAAATTATGGATTTCAATTTTCCTCATGATTTACGGTGGTCGACGGCCATAAGGCTGGTCTAATTTCTTACACAGTTCATTGCTTCACCAGAACAAAACAAATATGCGTAATGAGTCATTTGAAGATTTTGAAGATTTAAGAATGATATTTGGATCTAATACTGCAACTGGGCTTAATGCTGTGGGTTTAGGCGATACCGTTGATGCAGATTCTTACCAAGTTGGAGAGAATGACGGGATAATGGATGATATGGACAGAATACCATACGCTGAGAAATCTGTGCACGACGTTTTCTCTTCAATTGAGAAAAACAGGTTAGAAAAGCTTCCTCAACGAAAGAAAGCTAGAACTGATGCATTTAATTCGAACAAAGCTTTTGATGAAGTGAACACAGTGCAAGAGTTCGGTAATCAGATTCTTGGCATGATACAAAGAAGATGGGAAAAAGAAACTGAAGAAAAAGAAGCTGAAGACAAAGCTGAGAATGTGTGGGAAGCTATTACAGAAATTCCTGATTTGACCATCGATTTGCGTTACGAAGCCATGACGTTGGACATTAACTTTCTCAAATTCACAACCACACCACGAATTCTCTATTTTTATACTATAGACGACGTTGAACATATTTTCAAACGTATTGCAGAGAGAATCCAGTTTTTCTATTTTGTTGTAAAGCAACGTTGCAAAGAGAATATGTTTTTTGTGTAAACCAATGTCGCAGTGTTTTGTTTTGTAAATCCAATTTTTCTATTTTTTGTTTTAAAAATCTCACCAAATCATCCAAGATTATCTATTTAAAATCACCAAATCTCATCAAATAAAATCTCACCAAATCATCAAATATTTTATAATTCCACCATTCAACTCACTTAACTTTCTCAAAATCCAAAATTTCCTAAATTCCACCAAATCCTCTCAAATCTTTAATTCAATACACCCCCCTTAAATCTCAAATTTATGATTTTTATACAAATTACGAATATAAGTAGAACGTTTTGAATTTTAGATACAAAAAAAAAATCAAAAAAAAAAAAAAAATTGGGGACCGAAAGAACCGAGTGGTATGAGTGGAAAATGATTATCAAATGTGGTAGAAATGGAAAGGCTTTGGTCAAATGTGGTAGAGTTGACCAAATTTCCATTTGATTATTTGACATATAATTAGATTATTCCAATTAAAATATATGATGTAAGATGATGACATAAAAAAAGAGTAAATGGATGAGTAAAACAAATGCACATTTGAATTGATCGATCAAAGTATGTACCATATATGCTATTTGTATTTAATGACAACTAGTAATTAAATTTTACATCATGAAAAATATAGATGCACTACAAGAAAACACGGTATTAGCGACTTAATTCGGCGACTGAATATGTAGTCGTTAAATTTGGCGACTAATTAGGGACGTATTAGCGACTAAGTAGTCTATATTAAACATTAGTCGCTAATCAGTCTTTAATGTGAGACTGATTAACGTAGTCGCTAATAGGTCGCCAGTTACAGCTACTATTTAGCGACTCATTTATTTTATTTGGGCAATTAATTGGGATTTTACGGGCTTGATCCAGTAATTTTAGCCCATTAAGCTCGGAGTATTTAAACTCGGAGTCGCGAAACCCTAACCCTAATCCCCTTTTCTTCTCTCTCGACGAACCCGACGAACCCTAACCCAATTCCCCTTTCCTTCTCTCTCAATTCGATCCTAATTCTTCATCAATCCTCTCAATCTCTCCATTGAACGCTTGAATGATGAAGACTCGTGGTGGAAAAGGCAAGAGAGGAAGGGGATCGAAGATTCCCCCCCAAAATCGACCCACTTCTTCCCAGCCTGTACGAGTTGAATCGAAGACCTTGAATCGAAGACCTAGGGGTCTTCCCAGCCAGTACGAGTTCACGCCGGCGAATCGTCAAGCCCCACTTCAAGATTCTGAACAAGAGCCGATTGCACAACCTCCAACGGGTCCAACCATCAGGGACTATCCTCCTCCGACGCAACTTTTCCAGTCAGGCGAAGGATCTCCTCGCGGATCTGGCTCGACTCCATTTCGAGCATCCGGATCGACTCAACCTAGATCTGGAGGATCTGTTCATCGTCTAGCCTCCAATCAGTCTCCAGCGTCGGTTCAACGGGAAGCTTACAATCAGTCTCCAGCGCCGGTTCAACGGGAAGCCTCCAATCAGTCTCCAGCGCCGGTTCAACCGGAAGCCTCCAATCCTCCACCTCGGCAGGCGTCAAATCCTCCACCTCGAGCCTCTGTATCACATCACAGCTCTCAAGCTCAAAACTCACATGCGGAAGAAGATGAAGATGAGGAAGCTGAGGCTGATTATGAAAGGGAATCAACTCTCCCTGAAGATTCGCTTGCTACTCTCCATGAGTTGCTTCTTCAGCCAGGACGTGAGAAGTTTACAACGGTCATCTCTCCCACATTTGAGCCTGGAACCTATTGGTAAGCTGAGTAGATTAGGTTTAGGGTTAATATTGAGTAATGTGTGTGTGTATCTGCTAAGTAGATTAGGTGTGTATATGGTAAGCTGAGTATATTAGGTTTAGGGTTAATATTGAGTAATATGTGTGTGTATGGTAAGCTGAGTAGATTAGGATTATGTGTCTATAAAGCTTGCTAATTGGTTTATGTAATTGTAGGTTTGGTCACGACAATGGTAAGCTGACCCGGAAGATCACAAAGGTATTCACAAACAAGTTTAATGGGCCATATTACAATTGGAGCTGTGTACCTACTGAAAGAAGACACAAATACTTCCTCGAATTCGCGGTAAATTAACTTCTATTGTCTGTATCCATTTGGTTTGGTTTGGTTGTTTGATCACTAACATCAAACTCTCCTCTTGTTTTGTAGAAAACACACACATGGCATCCATCACTGACCGGTGTAATTGAAGAGAAATTCTACAAAATATGTCAGCTGCGTATGAAGGACATGGTTTCTAAGGCTTGCTCAAAACGAGCCACTGAGAGACCGCCATGGATTGAGAAGACATTGTGGAAGGAAATGTGTGAGTATTGGGACACAGAAGAAGCACTTGCCAAGAGTTCAACCACATCAGCAGCTCGAATGTCTGACCGTAATGGTCTTGGTCCTCACAAGCATGTATCGGGGCCAAAGTCTTTCTTACAAATCGAGCAAGAGATGGTAAGTTACATCAAGCACTCTTGTTTATTTACATAATGGTTTTCCTTAAGAATTTGAATTTTTTTGTGAACAACATTTCAGGAAATTGAGCTGGGAAGACCACCTACTATTGGTGAGATATTCATTAGGACTCATACCAAAAAAGATGGGAGTTTTGTTGATAGGAAGGCGCAGGAAATTCATGAGGCATATTTGAAGAACAAGGAAGCTAAGTTGGCTGCCCTTGTGAATGATGAAGGGTCTGATGGTACATCCCGTCGATCAGAACTATCTCAAGAGGAGGATGATGAGATCTTCCTTCTGGTAATGTGGTTGATCCTCTTTTTTTTTATTATTATCACTTACTTCATCTTTTAAGAACTAATCCTCTTGTCTTTTTTTTTGCAGTCAACTGTCACAAACGAGAGAGGGGTATACTTCGGAATGGGAAGCTTAGGGAGGTACATCAATGGGAAGCGGAAGCACCCAGGAAGCAGTTCTGCTTTCACTTCCTTGCAGTCACAGCTTGAGGAAGCCAACCGCAAGATAGAAGAACAAGCGACTCTCCAAGCACATCGGGAGGCAGAGGCATTGCGGGTGAAAGCTGAGCAAGCAGAGATCAAGCGTGTTGCTAATGAGCAACAAGCAGAGATCAAACACTTGAGGATGGTGAAGAAGTACTTGACCGAAACTGACCCCAAGTTTCTCGCCTTTCTCGAGTCTGCTTCAGAAGATCAAACAGAAGAGTTCCAGACTGCTAATGCTTCACAAGATCAAGCCTAGGAGTGAACATCTCATCTCCCCTTCCTTTAGTTGCTTTTCTTGTCTAAACTTAAAAACTTGATATTATGTAGCTTGAATTTTATGTTGTGAACATGTTTGAATTATGTTGTGTGTTTGAATCAAGGTTCTTTGTTTGTTAAATATAGTTTTTTTAAATTTAGGATTCCATAAATTAGAATGTAAAATTGATAATTAAACCTGTAATCAGTCGTCAATTAGTTGCATTTCAGTCACCAATACTTAAACTAAACAGACGCCATATGGTGGCAAAACAGTCGCTATATCAGTCACCAAATAGTCGCCAAAGAGTCACTATGTAGTGGCAATAATGTCTCCAAACAGTCGCTAATTTGGCGACTGTTAAGCGACTAAATAACGGCACATAATTTAGTAGTTATTCAGTCGCTAAATGGCGACTGTTTGGCGACTCATAAATTTAGCGACGCAAGGTTTACCGACTACGTGTTTTAGTCGCCAAACTGTCGTCTTAATAGGTTTAGCGACTACTACGCTACTTAATGTGTGGTCGCTAATTACATGTTTTCTTGTAGTGATGGTTCCACCATGGCTACAAGAGAGAGTAATTAACACCGAGGACAATGCATAAAAGGTGTACCTCATGGTCTCCAGGGGAGCTTTGATGAGTCTTTTTTCTGAATCTCTCAATGGATTTTGAGCGTAAGATTTCTTCTTTCTTTGTTCTTCTGATAGCAACAATGTTTTCCGGACACTCTCCATTCTTGTGCCACACCTGACCTGAGTTATAGCTTTTGCATCTTTCTTGGTGTTCGTAGAATGATTACCTTTTGGGATAAAACTCGGTCTCATCTACGTGCAAAAACTTCCCGTTTCAACATGATCATGCATAAACAAAAGAGAGACCATAAACAAAGGCAAACCTGAACTGTGTGGTTTTTTAAGTAGAGGATGATCCAAAGCTGGTGGACTAGCAATTGGGACACAATCTATTATGTCTCCATCTTCACTCTGTAACAAATATTAAAGCCGAGAATTAGTCTCTAAAATATCTTGTCCACAAATACCCAAAAAATGGATTTATGCATATGGAATTGTATAAAACAGTACTTTAATGGATTTTAGCGCAGGTTTGTTGATCCGCTTCAAAAGATTTTGTACTTCCATTTCCCGGTGATCAGGGAACTCTTTTCCATACACGCAAGGAGATATTATCGCCACTATCATCATCAGAGATACCTCGAATCCGGCCATTCCTGTCATGGTTAATTATAAAAGAAATTTTCACGTTTCTAAGGAAAAAAAGATTTTCTCTCAGCCTTTGGCAAAGTGAGAATTGGTTTTCATGTTTTGACAATTTAGTCAAATTCTGACTATTTTACCCCTGCCAGCGTAACGACGTATTGTTCCGTGTACGGTTCAATTATGCGGTTCATTTAGGTACACTGTTCCGGTTAGGCTAAGATAATTTCGTTTTTTTTAATGTTTTGTGCGGCTGTACAGTGAAAAGGGGGATTAATAACATTAAAAAACAAAGTGACATCAGTATTTAATGCCAAAAAAGTTTATACATGACTCTTGTCACAATTAATGCAAAACTCATCATTACTTGTTATAATATTAGTTTATACACTAGATTTTAACACGCGGTACACCGCGGGATGATTTAATTTTAAAGTTGGTATAAAAATATTTTGTAAATTGTATCTCCTTATAACATATTTATTTATATTATAGTTTACAATTGTTATTAAGTAACGATATACCACGAGTCCACAAGACAATTATTAATAAACTGAGGATTTAACCCGTATTAAAGCGGTATATAAATATTGAT